ATTAAAAACTAAGAAGTGAGACTGATTAAGATCCCAGAGCATTGAGAAGAGGCAGCTTCTTACTGCTAATGGCCTTTTTTGTATCTTCAAGAAAAGTTTAATCTGAGTCTCCAGCATCGCTTATTGACACACACACACCAACACAAAGCCCATAAATGAGAGCAGAATCGGCCTAGGCCTTGATCAACACCAATCTGTCTGGGAGGGAGGGCATAAGGGGCCTGCAGTCTTGCTTTCTGAAATGCAGTAGAAGGCAGGTGAAGGAGGACAGGATAGTGAGCTTTTGCATTGTTGAGCCCAACACCTGCCCCATCTTGCCAGGTTTCCTCTTGAGAGAGGAATGTATGCCTGAGCACATCTGTAAGCACACGTGGCCAAGGACTCATCCTTTCCCAAAGGGTCTGGCACAGACTGGAGCAGTGGTGTTTCTCAGGTGGTGAGGGTTTGCTGGAGAGGAGTCCTCTGAGCGGATGTTTAGCCTGAAGAAATGTTGTTGTAAGATAAGGTAAATAAATGAGGCCATGAAAACTAACTCCTGACTTGCAGACTCAAGCTTGAAGTGGGTCCTTTCAGAGGGAGAGGTTTGGGCTGCCTGGAAAGTCAGCTTCTACATTTATACATTAAGAGTCTTTGAGTTTGTAGAGCAAAGAAAGGCGATGACAGAGCCTTTATTTGAGAAATAGGTGGTATAGGAAAAGATATCAAAGAGAAATTAACTTACCCCTCTCAGTAACAGTTTGGAGAGAGGTGTGAGCTGAGGAATGCAGCCGCGTACTGACTCTGCTGGAGGAGAAGGCGGGGAGGAAAGGGGACCCACACAGACTTGGAAGCATTGCTGAGACAGAAGGGGTGATCCCCCCCTCCCCCCCCTCCAGGCACTCACGTGCTCATTTATCGGTTCAAGCTGTGACCTTGGAATTCCACTACAGAGATTATCTTTTTTTTCACACTCCGAAGGCCAGTGGTGGAGACTCCTTCTGGGAACTTGCTAACTTAAAGACTGTGTAAAACCAAAGCTTGGTGACTGACTTTTTGCACAGGCAGGTGGTGGCAGGACAAGGGGGAATGGCTTTAAACTAAAAAAGGGGAGATTTAGGCCAGATGTGAGGAGGAAGTTCTCTACCCAGAGGCGGTGCGGCCCCAGCACTGCTGCCCAGAGCTGTGGGTGCCCCATGCCTGCAGGTGCACGAGGCCATGGCTGGGTGCTGAGCAGCCTGAGCTGGGGAGCAGCCAGCACACAGCACGGCTGGGGCTGGGGGCCCTTCCATCCGAGTGCTGGGATTCTGTGACTGTTGCCATAGCCTATGTGTGATCAATGTGGTGTCCTCCAGCAGTGCTGAGTCCACTCCTCTGCGCATCCCAGCTTCTGGTTGGTCCAGGAGTAGAGCACACTTTCTTCTTTGTAAAGAAATGCACAGACACTTCCTGGAGCTAATATGCAAGGATCCTAATAATTGCTTGGCTATCTTGCTTGATAAACAGCAATCCAGACAGCTAATCAATTTGAGCTGTGTGCAGAGAAAAAAATACAAGAAGACAGATGGACATGCAGACAGATGTATGGGTGAATGGTTTGCTTTATAAATACAAACTAAATAAATTCTGAGTGGTGAAGAGGTATCTGGCTGTGGTGGGAAGGAATGGGAATGGACAGGCAGATCTGCACCACTTGGGCAATGGCAGATGGTTTGGGCACATCCTGTACCTGCACATCCAGGCTGTGCTTCTTCTCAGAAGCATTGGTGCACAAAATCCAGGACCTCATCCTTCCTATTAAGAGGTCTGTGGTCCAAATGGTCTCTCTGTATTGCACATTTACTGAATCTCAGTTCCATAGTGCTGCTGAACTCCCCAAAGGCTTGTCACCTGCAAAGAGTCTGAACTTTTCCCTGAATTTCCAGGCTCTCAGTCCCTCAGCACCTGTAGTAAGGAGTACAAAACCAACTTCTCTCTGCTTGGATATTGGTGGCATAAATTGAGTAAGCTGGCTCCCCAAAATTAGGCAGTGGAGGAATTTATGCACCAGCAAGCATTGAAGAAAGAGCCCAGCCAGGGCAATGAGTGCCTGAGGCAAGAATGGGAAACTGGGAACGGGTGGCTCCTGCTCTATCGGCAGATAGATAGCTCGGGTGGCTATCTTCTAGGGAATCTTTACCTTTATATATTAAGCCAGGCCCTCCTGGGGCCATTCCCAGGACCTGCCTTGGGCAGGAGAAAGTGCCCATGATATCCCAGACCCCTTTGCTCTCCACTGTGGTTGTTTTCCTTCCAAGCAGCACTGCAGCACTTAAATAAGCAGGGATTTGCAATGCAGAGAAAAACCTCCCACCTGCCACTCAGCAGCGTGTGGGCTGAGCGGAGTCGGGAGCAGCTGCGCCACTTTGCTTTATCTGCTTGGTCTCAACAGTCCTCCTGCCCATACCCTCCAGGCTTGGCCACTTTACAGCAATATCTCGGTCAGTTTGTGGCTCTGGAAACTGCAGGTGGACTTATGACAGTCCTACTACAGCCCTCTGACGTAGCGTGCCTTGGAGATTGGAGCGTTGCCTGGGGACCATGGAGATGATGCCCTCAGGTTTGGGGCCTCCTACTTCCTTGCAACATGCCTTATTTTCCCCGTCTCCTGAACAGAGACAGTGCTGCTGGCTACACAGCATGCTTTCCTTGGAGTCTTGGGCATGAAAAACGCTAGAGAGGGGATAAAAGTAGATAAAAGACCATAAATTTTATGTCTGTGATCCAGCAGATCAGAGTGTTAGCAGAAGAAGTAAGGGGATCCTTTGGTAATTGGGCATTGGAGAGGGAGCCTGTAGGGACTACAGGTTAGTCCAGCATCAGGAACAAGGATTCCACTCCTGGTTCTCTCAGATCTGAGCCTTTCTTGCTAGGAAGATGGGGATGGCTGGTAGAAGCTGGTTTTGAAGGATCAGTGTGTGCTTGGTCATGGCTGTCCCCCACTCTAGACTGGCAGAATTTTAAGCAGGCCAGGTGTGACAGAGCCTCAGCCCCAGACCTGGAAAGCCATTGCTGATCATATATCCCCTTCAGTGTTATCTACAGAGAGAAGGAAGCTCCCTGCCAGGTACTGGAACATTATCTGTGCACTTTTCAGTCTCTCAATTGAGCAAGGCAGGTCTCAGTGGTCCCAAGATCATCCCATCATTGGGACTTTGATAATGGACAGCACACTGCTGCTACTTTGCTCTTTGGGCTGCTGATCCTGCTTCCATCCTGGAAAAGTGGGCATGGTGTCTTACATCACTTCACCCAAAACTGAGGGGAACCTGGTGATCAACTGCAGGTAGCACACTGTTGTTGCTTGGCTCAGAGTGCCCATGAGCCCAAGCGGGCTCATCTCTACTCCGCTGCTGACTTATGAGCCCCAGCACCCAACCCCTTCTCTCCTCCCAGCCTCATTTTCACCTCACCTGTCTGAATCCCACCTCTGGGCACTGGGAAGCCCATCCCCAAGTAGTAACACTGTGCTGTTGCCTTGAAGAGTCAGGATGTGGCCCTGGGTCCCTTGTGGTCCAAGCAGCTGGGGCACTGGGAGAGGGGAAGCTGAAAACCCCTGTCAAGAGCTGCAGGGATGTGAGGGCCAGGCACAGCAGAGCCAACAAGGTGCAATTTGAGGAAAGCAAAGGCTGACAGAGAGGTGGCTCCTCCTTGAGAGGCTCTGCTATGGACATGCAGATGCTACAAGAGGGGATAATCTGAGATCAGTGCTGCTTTTCACTGGAGCAAAAGAGAGAAGCAAAACTCTGTCCCTCTCCTAGGTTAGAGTTGCTCTGGTTTGCAAGGAGAGGCAAGAGACCCCAAGCCTTTAGAGAGCTGAGACTACCTGGGACCTCACTGATTGGAGGTGTTTTCTTGCTTGGAGCACAACTGTCAATAGAAAAGTCTCGGTACAGACTTCAGTGCTCAGAAACACTGTGGGCTGGGACTTTTTGGGGAAGATTTTTAGCTGCAGCAAAGAAATTTGGCAGCTTGGAAGCAATCTAATCATCCTCCTCCCATATGTTTGGTTCTATTTAAAAGGGAGCATGTACCCAATTCCTTCCGACCAGCCCGGTGACATTTCTAGTGTGCGCTTGGAAATAAATTTGGCATCTGCTGTCAGAATCTCAGATTGAGCCCAGTACGGCTAATTTGGGCTCTGAATGCCTTTGCCTCTGCAGAGCACCTTTCCATGCTGACAGATTCTAAACGCAGCAGTGTCAGGGGTTGCTTCCTTCCACCAGTACTGGGTAGGCAGTAGCCAGGCTTCACGGGCAAATAGAACAAGCTCCATCTCCAGGAAAGGGGTCAGCATTGGCAGCACAGTCCTGCTTCAGGAAAAAACAGTGCCTACAGCCACTAGAATCAGCATCTCTGCCTTGGAGGTCTCCTGGCTGCATGCAGAGCAAAACCCCAGCCTGGAGCTCTCCTTATGGGGGTCTCTTCCCATCCTGCAGATGTGTCTCTGCTCTCTCCAGGCCAGGTGAGCTTTGCTCTTTATATCCTGTTCTTTTCCTTCTTGCTTGCAGCTGCTTGGGCTCAGCTGTGGGTGAGGTGAAGTCCAGCTGCTGCTCACAAGGGAGCCTATGCCTCTGGGCTGGGATACACAACTCACAAACATCACCAGTGGTGACAATAACGGGCGGTGCTACATGGGTGCTACTGGGAACACTGTATACGAGGCATCTCAAGTTCAGGTAGCTGGGCTGTATCTTCAAAGGAGAGCAAGTGCCAAGTCTCCAGCTGGGAGCTGTTCCCTCCTCTTGCTCAAAATCTCCATTCAGTTGTCCCCTTGATCTCTCTGGCCCTGCTAAACCTCTGCTCTGCTCCCAGCTCTGTGGGCTGATTGTGCACAGAGGTGTGAGCACACAGCCACACCATCAAAGGGACACTGTTCCTCCCTTGCTCTTTCTTCCAGCCAGGTTTACTGTCCCCCAGTGCTGCAAAAGTACATTGGGGTGAGGGTGGAAGAGTAGAGTTGAAAGCATATGGTCAGATTAATGTTTTTTTTCTCTGCCTCCTAACTATACATGTGTTCTTTCTTTGCCTATGCCATTAGCTTCGTTAGCACCGCTGGAGTGGTGGATTAAATCCAGTGAGCTGTGCAGTGAACCTCATTGCTTGAGTCAGTTCTAAAGATTATGACGAATTATGTAGATCAGAATCAGACAGCAATCCTGGCATGGACCGATATCTTGGGAGGATGGTGACAGGGCTGTAGCTTCACCATGTGGGTTTGCTGTCATCTAATTAGATGTTCAAACAGACCCTCCTGGCCACAGCTCTGCAGATGTCTGCCTGCATTCGCCACTCCCTTCTCCATGCTCAACTGCACAATGTGGGCTAGACCTGGGGAAAGAAAGGAGCAGGATATGTTGTGATTAACACTCAGCTGGCAGAGGGTCCTGGAGCCATGGAAGGAGTGAAGGGAAGGAAAGAAACGTAGAAAATGGGCAGATCTCAGCAGGCATCAGGTAAGAAGTGGAACTTGATGTTTCCTTCTGTCCAGGCTGAGCAATGAAGGACTGTGGGGACATGTGTGGGTGCAAGCTGCACCCCTGTTCCCCACTGTTCAGGGCTGTGGTAGGACAGACATACAGGATGTTTTTCACTGGGCTCTCTCCTTGACCCTGTTTTCTCTGCAGTGATATGAAGTGACAATGGCACTGGCCAAAGCTCAGGATATGGCAGCAGTCTCTACTGACCCCTAGACAGGAGCCAGCATTCCCCTGCCAGTACCCTTGATGTGTTCAGGTCAGAGGACTCCAGGAGATGTGTAATGAATGCCAGTGAGCCTAAGTTAATGTGGGCTGGAATGGGGAAGATTCTGCTCTTGGCCAGCTTTGTGTTCCCCAAGCTGTTTCAGCCTCATACTGGCCTCAGCCGTGCACAACAAAGCTCTCCTTTGTCTGAGCTGTGCCTCAGGATGGACTTGAGGGCTTGAAATCAGGTTTAAAATTTCTTGACAGGGAGATACCTGGGCAGAGCCCTGTCCTGTCCCTACACACTGCCTGGAGAAGGGACTTTGTCTGCATCTGTGTCTCCCTGGAAGGGCTTCTCTGGCTGCCTTTGCCCTTCCTCAGTTCCAGCATCTGTCTTCTGCAGTCAGAGATGATGCATTTCTGTCACACTGTAGTAAAGGTGAAACAATTCCAAGCACCTTGCTGTTGTATAGATCTACCTCACCACCACCACGTGTCCCTGCCTGCAGCCTTCCCTGCCCTCTTCACCCTGTGCCTGCTTCACTGTGACCACACAGCCTGCCAGGGCTGCTGCAGGGACAATGCTCCAGCAGTTTAGCGACAGCCATCGTTCTCAGAACCAGCTGGACAGCAGGAGAGTCTGCAGTCACCTGTGGTCAACACCTCTCTTCTCTTTTAGTTTAACTGAAAGAGCTAAAATCAAAGTACTGGGATGCGTGTTAAAAGAATGCAGTGTTGCTATGGATAATGAGTTGTGGAAGGTTTTATGGCATACCAGGAAAAGAGTTGCAGGCCCAGCTTTTGGTTCAGCCACTGCTGGTCTCCATGTGTTGCTCAATGAAAGGTATTGTTGTCATTCCAGGAGGAAGCTGTACCAGCTTGAGCCCTCCTGAACAACCTTTCAAAAGCATCTGCTCATTTGGTTGAGTCCATGAGCCCTTAAGCAGCCCTCGAGGAAGTGTGAAATGGGTGCAGGTTCGTTTTGGCAGAGGGGTGTGAGCTCACGGGTGCTCCGGTCTCAGCTGCACTTCTGCCCATGGCTCCCTGTCCTCATTGGGAGCTGAGAAGCCTGGCTGGAGGGGAGGCCCACGGGCTCATACCTTGGGCAGTGGGAGAGGGCTGGTCCCCTCTCTGGCAAGGTGGGCCCCATGGAAGCGTGGCAGCAGCTGTCCTCCTGTGGTCCTGCTCAGGCTGGGCAGGAAGAACAGCAAGTGCTATGTCCTGTATGCTTTGCTCTGGATGGCACTGCTGCGCTTGGACCGGAGGACCTCCAGGTGCCTTCAATACAAAAGCAGTCTGTGATTCTGTGCAGTCCTGAACAATAAGACATAAGGTGTCTGAGGGTGGCCTGGGGAAATGTACATGTGTTCAGAGCTTGTGCTAGCCACTGCTTTTCTACAATAGATCCATTAGGATTAAATGAAGAGTGAAACTTGCCCTGGTGTCTCTCTGTTGTCACTGTTGTTCTTTTTAGCATTAGGCTATAAATTCTCTGCCTTGCCCAGGCATTGAAATGCTCTCCCCCTTCCCTGAGTGCTGGAAATAGAGTCAGCCTGAGGCTGCTGTTCAGCAGAACACAGTGTGCGCTACCTCACAGCCCCTCCTGCACCAGGCCTTCAGAGGCCGTGAGCAAAGTGAGCTTGGCAGTGCTACTGCAAGCCAGTGCAGCAGGGCCAGCAGGAGCCAGTGCAGGAAGTGGGGACGGCTGAGACCAACTGGTGTTCATGCACCAAGTCAGTGGCTAGGGAAAGGCCACTGCCCTCTCAGCCAGCCCTGACTGCAGAGCACCAGGCATCCTCTGCCCTGTGGGGCTGCTGCTCTCAAGAGGCATCACAAATGCCACCTCTGCTGACCCCAACATGTCCCTGTGAGAGATGCATGCATGTGGCCAACCCTACCCACACACAGTCTCCCAGACCTTTGTCTTTGGGATTGCGATGACAATGTTTGCACCCCATGTGAAGGAGCACTCTGTGAGCCAGGGAGAACCAGTGCCCTCAAAAGCTGCCGCACTCTGCCTCTGATTGTAATGACAAGGCTGGAGTAGTCAAGAGCTTGAAAAAGTCTTCTAACTCACTGCCAGGAAACATCAGGAGTGGAGGCTTCTGGGCTGTAGTGATCATGCAATGGCAGAGGTCACACTCCTGAGGGATACTGGACAGGCAGAGAGTAAAATCAGGATGTTAAATTTTAGAAAAGCCAATTTCCATGTCTTCAGGGAGTTAGTCAATGAAACCCCGTAGGAATCTGTCCTCCGGTACAAAGGAGCAGAGCAGAGCTGGTAGATCTTTAAGGAAACTTTCCTTAGAGCGCAAGAGATCTTCCCCCACAGGTTTTAGGAAGTCAGACAAGGAAGACAAGAAACCAACATGGTTGAACTGGGATCTGGTGGTCAAACTGGAGGGCAAGAAGAAAATTCACAGACAGTGGAAGCATGGACAGGTAACCTGGGGGGAGAATAGGGACACTGGTAGGCTGTGTAGGGATGAGGTCAGGAAAGCCAAGGCCGAACTGGAACTGGAACTGGGCTTGGCAAGAGGTGTAAAGAACAAGAAAAGCTTTGACAGGTATGTAAACCGAAAAAGGAAAGTCCTAGAGGGCATACCTTGTGTAGTGAGGAGAAGACTGAGAGGGGATTTGATAAATGTTTATAAATATCTAAAGGGAGGTGGTGTGTAGCAATAGGACAAGGAGTAAAACTTCAACACAGGAAGTTCTGTACTGACATGCAGAAGATTTTCTCAGTAAGGGTGACTGAGCACTGGAACACGCTGCCCAGGGGGATTGTGGAGTCTCCTTCTATAGTTATATCAAGATCCATCTGGACGCCAACCTATGCAGCTTACTGTGGGATACCTGCTTTAGCAGGGTGGTTGGAGTCAATGATCTCTTGAGGTTCCTTCCAATCCCTGCAATCTGTGATTCTGTGATTCTGTGAAAGAACAGAAAAGGAGAAGGCTAAGGTACTCAACAGCTTTTCTGCCTCACTCTTCACTGGCAACTCCTCTTTACACAGCCCTCGAGTGGATGTTTCAGAAGGTGGGGACTGGTGGAGCAACATTCCTCCCAGTATAAGCAAATATAAGGTTCGTGACTGCCTGAGGAACCTGATCATCCATAAGTCTATGAGTCCTGATGAGATGCATCCCAGAGTCATGAGGGAACTGCCTGATGTAGTTGCCAAGACACTCTAGATAATATTTGAAAAATCATGTTGATCAGATGATGTCCCTGGTGACTGGAAAAGAAGGCAACATCACAACCATTTTTAAGAAGGGTAGAAAGGATGACCCAGGGGACTACTGACCTGTCAGCCTCACTTCTGTGCTGGGGAAGATCATGGAGCAGATCCTCCTGGAAACTATGCTAAGGCACATGGAAGAGACAGAGGTGATATAGGACAACCAGTATGACTTCACCAAGGGCAGGTCCTGACTGACACACCTAGTGGACTTCTATGATGGCATAATTGCATCAGTGGACAAGGAAGAGCCACCGATGTCATCTATCTGGACTTCAGTAAGGCCTTTGACATCCCCCACAACATCCTTCTCTGAAATAGAAAAATATAGATGTGGTGGGTGGATTGTTTGATGGACAAAGAAACAGTTGCAAGATCATACCCAGAGACTCAATAGCTTAATGTCCAGATGGAGATTAGAGACAAGTGATGTCCTTCAAGGGTCAGTACTGGGACCAGTGCTCTTTAGTGTTTTCATTAATGACATTGGCAGTGGGACTGACAGCAAGTTTGTGGGTGACACCAAGGCGAATGGTGCAGTCAACGCATTCAAGGGACAGGATGCCATCCAGTGAGGCCTAAGGAGGCTCCAGCTGTGGGTCCACAAGAACCTTGTGAGGCTCAACAAGGTCTGAGTGCAAGGTCTGGTGCTTGGGTGACAGCAACCCCACTATCAATACAAGCTGCAGCATGAAAGTACAGCCCTGTCAAAAAGGGCTTGGGAGTACTGGTGGATGGCAGCTGGACATTAGCCAGCAGTGTGCCCTCACAGCTCAGAAAGCCAACCATATCCTGGGCTGCATCAAAAGAAGTACAGCCAGCAGGACGAGGGAGTGCTTCTGCCACTCTCTGTGCTGGTGAGGCCTCACCTGGAGTATTGCATCCAGATGTGGAATCCTCAGCACAGCAGAGACATGGAGTGTGTCCAGAGAAGGGCCACAAAAATGATCCAAGGGATGAACTTCTCTCCTATGACAGGCTGAGAGAACTGGGACTGTGCAGCACAGAGAGGAGAAGGCTGCGGGGAGAGCTGAGAGTGGGTTTGCAGTATCTAAAGAAGGCCTATAAGAAAGAAGGTAACAGACTCTTTAGCAGGATCTCTTGTTAGGAAAAGTAAAAATGGTTTCAAACTAAAAGAGAGGAGATTTAAATTGGATAGAAGAAAGTTTTTTTACAATAAGGGTGATGAAGCATTGGCACAGGTTGCCAGAGAGGTGGTGGATGCCTCATCCCCAGAGACACATGAGTGAAGTCAGGCTGGATGGGGCTCTGAGCACCTGGTGGAGCGGTAGTCCAACAGAGGAGCTAGACTAGTTGACCTTTAGGGGACCCTTCCAACTGAAATGATTCTATGATTCTAAAATAAGTAGGCTGGATCCTGCGAGACAGGACTACAGCGATGAACAGAGCATTTCTTACTTGCTGGGTCACAGAATCACAAAATCACAGAATGGCCCGGGTTGGAAGGGGCCTCAAAGATCATGAAGCTCCAATCCCCCTGCCACATGCAGGGCCACCAACCTCCACATTTAATCCTAGACCAGGTTGCCCAGGGCCCCATCCAATCTGGCCTTGAACACCTGCGGGTACAGGGCATCCACAGCCTCTCTGGGCAGCTGTTCCAGCACCTCACCACTCTCTCTGTAAAGAATTTCCCCCTGACGTCCAACCTCAATCTTCCCTTCCTCAACTTCAAACCATTTCCCCTTGTTCTGCTGTTATCTCCCCTTTCCAAGAGATGATTCCCCTCCTGTTTGTAGGCTCCCTTTAGGTTCTGAAAGGCTGCAATGAGGTCACCCCGCAGCCTTCTGTACTCCAGGGTCTCCCAAGCTGAACATCCCTCCTAGTCACTGCCCATCCACACTACTTGCTTCTCCAGCTACCTCTCGTCTCACTGGGGATCCTGCCAGATGTTTGCACAACAGACAGCACAGCAGAGAAGGAGCTTGTGGTTTGTATTTGTTGAATTCCCGGTGGAAGATGTAGGGATGATCCTTGCAAAGACCATCACACTGAGTCTCAGATGGAAAAGTCTAGCCCAGAACAACATTAGCGCCTGCATTAGCAGTGCTTGGCGTAGATCTGCTCCTGATTTTAGGGATGGAAATACAGAATTTACCAACAATGCTGTTGGTATAAATCTAGGGTAGTCCTACCAAAACAGGAAAGGTCTGGCTAGCGTGGGTTATTTAAAAGGCCTGGTGACAGATGTAGTCTCCATGACGACCCACAGCTGGCTGGGCAGGAATTAAGGGCACTGTGCTTCAATTGAGTGTCTGTCTCAGATTCATCTACAGCTCGTAACTTAGGTAATTACAGATGCACTTGAAAATGTGCAGATTCAAACATGCTCACATTTTAAGCCTTTTGGAGATAAATGAATACAAGGATCATCATCCAAAGGGCTTATCCCCCACTTGAGCTCCTGCCTTCCTGCAGCGTGCCATGGCCGCTTCCCTTCCGCTCAGAGCAGAGATGAATGGCGAGGCCTCGCCTGTTTGTTCTCCAGCAGCTTGCAGGAGGAGGAGAGGCACCGCTGCCAGCACACACGACTTTTGTGTTTCACATCGGGTTGTTTGGTAAACTAGTGGTTTGCAAAGAATGCTCTGGGCTCTGAGCCAAGCAAATTAGCTATAATAGGTAGAGAGCAATTAATGGCAGGTTTAACTGAACACCATCTTGCAAAGGCTCTGCCCCACAGCGTGGGCTTCCCTCTCTGCAAGGACCAAAGTCTGAGGGATTCCTGGTGCTAGAGAAGTTTGTTGCTGAGTGGCTGTTGAGCTCTAACAAGGGCAGCTGAAAGCAGAACCTGCCCCATTTAAATTGGTGAAGGGAGTTCGTCAAAGTAAGGAAGAAATACATGGAGACTGGCCTTTCCTGTGAAAAATCTTTGGCTTGTTATTACTATAATAAGTCTCTAAGTCATGTGTCTGAAAGGACTGAACGAAGAAATCTATTTTTCTCTCTGTTTTTTTAGGCTGCTGCCTGTGTGACTGTCACTCTGCAGTCACTGTGCTGAGTTCTCCATAGAGGTAGCCAGTTTTTCCTGTTGTTTGTGTGGGTTTTTCACATGGCAACGGCAGAGAGAAGATCTTTTTTCTTTCTTCTGTTTTTTGAAGAAGCAAATAGGATTGTAAAAAGCAACTAGCATTCGCAAGGAAAAGAGAGGAAAGGGGCAGGAACACAGGCATCAGTGTACCTTGCTGCTTTCTCCATTTTGGGACCACTGAGTTGCTGTGCTCTTCTCAGGCAGCCAGGCATGTGTCTGCATCATCTGCTCCAGGGACACCCAGAAAGAGCCCCAAATCTGAGGCTGCCTGGGTGAGTTTCCTAATGGCTAGGCAGAAGGAACTCATCCTGATGATGGCATTTTGTGAAGAGGCTTTTTGTGCAGTGCTAAAAAGCACTGAGGATCTGGATGCTTCGCTGTGCCTGCTTCCCTTTGTGATAGCAGGGATAGCAAAGAGAGCAGGAGGGGGATGCTGCCAAGAGAGTGGCCCTGAGCCCACAGGAAAAACACTCCTTCTGATGCACTCTGTGCTAACGTAGCTCCAGCATGCATGGATGCATGGTCACCTGGTGTTTGCAGGGGAGATGCCACCCTGCTACCCCCAGCCGGGGCAGCCTTGACCATCCCATGGGCACCTCCCTTGCTGCTTGTACCAGGCTGCTCCTTCGTAATCATCCCAGCCCTAACTGTGGCCACTGCCAGAAACCACGTGCAGGCTCCAGGCACACTGTGCTGCTCTCTGCCCACCAGGCTGTAACAGCCCACTGTGCTCCCTTGGGAAACTGTTCCCTTCTTCGGTCCATCACATCACTCCCACGGTTGGTGCATGCGTCACTTTTTTTCCCCTTCTTCATATAACTGCCCTTTAGATATTTATATAGTGTTATCATGTTCCCCCTCAGGCATCATCTTTCTAGGCTATACAAATTAAATTCCCTTAGTCTCTGCCTGTAAGTCATCCTCTCCAGTCCTTGTATCAATTTGGCTTCTGTACTGAATGTTTTTTTACCCTTTCTATGTGTAATGTCTCTCTCCTTGTAAAAGCTACCCTGGGTGTTGTAGGGCACATATACAATCACAGTGTTAAAAACAGGATTAGAACGTGCTTTGTCCATTGGGGTCACAACTGCAGTCAGACACTGTTTTTGTCAGGCTCTGTCTTGCATCCAAACGCAAGCGCTTATAGATCTCTGGTCCATGATTACTCTGTAGCTGGCCACTTCTCAGCTTGTCCTCTTTCCCAGCTTGGAGGGTCTCAAGGTGAACCCTCAGTGCTGTTTTTGGTGTGAATCCATAGGAACCATAGGGAGATCCAAGTGGATCTCCCTGGATGCTCTCCAGTGTTTGGTAGCCTCTCATCCAAGCACTCAGCCAGCTTGTGTGCCTGGTGCTTCCACTGCAGGCAGCTTGGCCATGTCCAGCATCCTGAAGATCTTCTGTGATGATCAAAGCAGGGGCTTCACCATTCTGCTGGGTACATGTGGCTTAGGAACTGATGGGCACTTTGGGAAGTGTAGGGGAAGGTGGGGTCGTCCCAGCTCCTTGCTGAGTGGGGGCACATCTGCCTGGTCCCTGAAAGGATGCAGGGGTCCCACTGGAGAAGACAGCAAGAAGAACCTTTGTGTTTTGAGCATGGAAGTGGGAAGCAGCTTTCCTGCAAACATATGGGGAAGACAGCTTGCAGCAGTTCCCGGAGATGTGGTTGCAAGAAGCCAAAGGAGCATTTGTTTGTCCTTTGCCCATAAATGAGTCAGTTACTGGAAGTGACTGTGCTCCATCTCTGCAGACATTCATGGGCACATTGGACAGGGTCCTGGGCAGCCTGATCTGGTGGGTGACAACCTTGCCCACAGCAGGGGGGCTGGAACTGGATGAGCTTTAAGGTCCCTTCCAACCTAAGCCATTTCATGGTTCTAAATACTCACTCTCTCTACATATGCAAGTCCACAGCAATGGCAGCAAAACTCGGTGCTGTTTTGTGCTGCAAACATGGCTGTGGCAAAACGGACAGGGAGGAAATTATGTTAACATTGCCTCATTGCCTACCATCATAGTGCGACAGAGGCCGTGCCAGAGCAGTAACAAACGCTTAACAGAGGATAAATTAATTCACACAGCAGCTACATTCTATTTTACTCATATTTCCCACAGAAAATTAGATTTCATCTCCAGCTGTTGCTTCTTTTTTACATTCAATATAAAGCTAACTGAGTGATGTGTGATAATGGGGTGCCCCAGAGCAATGCTGGCAGGGTTTTCATGCCTGTCTAGCAGACAGCCTGGCTCTCACTGCCTCTTCCTGCCAGTGAGCCCCATACAGTTATAGGGAAGCCTCTTGGGAGAAAACTCTGTAACTTTGGGAGTTCCCATCAACAAAAAGGCTTTCTGTAATTCCTACTGCCATGTCTGAAGTCTGTTCTTACATACTGTCAGGCTTGCACCCCTGAAGGATCTTGTTCTTCCCCTGTGATTTCTTGGAGGTGGGCTGGTGCCTCCTTGTATTCTCACACCTGCTCTTACCAAGTTGTTTTCCCTCCTGGGCTGGTGACTCTTTCTCTCAGAGATGTGCATGCAGTTCAAAAGCCGCCCTTCCCCAAACTACTGCAGCCCTGAGCAAAAGCAAACAGAAGAGGACTGAGAAGCAAAGGGTAGGCAGCAGGATTAGGCACTGCGCCACTGCTCTCACAGCATGACAACTTGGACGTCTTTCTTGTTGCGTTGGGATGTCACCTGGGGTGGTGGTGTCACAGATCTGCATAATGACAAATAACATAGCATAGCACAGAAATGAACAGAACAGTTCGGTTGGAAGGAACCTTCAAAGGCCACATGGTCCAACTGCCTGACCACCTCAGGGCTAACCAGAAGTTAAAGCAGGTAACAAGGGATTGTCCAAATGC